CGTCTTGAATGAGGGCATCACCGTTGTTAGCTGTTGTCTCATTATAAAGCGCTTTCCAGCTTATTAGCCTAAACAGTTGTATTCAGTTCACAATGCTGTGGTTTGGCACTGGGGATGGTGATCAGCTGACTGGTTTTCCTGGTCTCAGCTGGCCTCATTTGTCTGTGGTTGGAAGATAGCTTGGCTGCACATGGCTAGCAAGGTGGGGGCGGAAGTGAAACAAATCAGGCATCGGGACATCAGAAAAGCTTTGTGTTTAGAAAGCTCGCTCAGAGAGCGAGGATGAAGCTGAGCAGAGCTTACCAGACTGCTCTGTGGATTCAAGCAGGAAATCTTTAGGGTTTAACGAAAGCATCAGCAACTGGCAAGTTAAGGGAGGGCCATGACTCCATCGCATAAATAAAGGCATTTATGTGATCCGGGACCATACTTTGTATTTCACCGCCAGACTCCTGTAATGTCCTTTAATCCTCGGATTTCCCCTAATTGTCCTGATAGTAGCACTTTAAAAATAACAAGCCACTTCTTTTGTGTAGCGTCTGTGTAATCTGTGGTATTTGGTAGTTACGAACAAGGCTCCTGTCAATAATTTTGCTCATGCATTTTGGTATTGTACATTTGCATTCCCCTCAGCTATCCACACTCCTAAGAATGGAATTGCTACATCAAATAGCTGGTCTGTGCTTAATTTTGTAGATTCTGCCAAGTTCTTTTTCTCAGCAGTGGTGGCCATTTGGGACTGGTAAAGACTCACTTTGAGGACTGACTAGTACCCAGCCTGAGGCACTATTGCTGGGTAATTTGGTCCGCATTTAGGAGGTGGGGGCTGGGTCTGGGAATGTTTTATTTTGCCCTGGTTCCTTCCTGTTTGTTCTGTGTTTCCTGCTGTCAGAAGGTGAACGAGCTGCTATGCCTTATACTCCCTTCACTATGATTTCTGGCCCATGGCAGGCACACAGAAAGCAGGATGTTTGGCAGACCCTGGAGTTGAGCCGTTTGGACAGTGAGCTGAAATACAGCTGTCTTTTTCTGAAGCTGCTTTTGTCAGGTGTTTCGTGAGACAGATGCAAGCCATTGTGCCAGTTCTCAGCCCCTCAGTGGCTTCATGACCATGACGTCATGTGGAATTGTCAAACTTAATCCCACCTATCGCGGTGGAGGCAGAGGAGGACCTCGTGGGTTTAATTTTATAGACCATTTATCTTTGAATTCACAGTTAACAACAGATCTTTTTTTTTTTCCCCCTTACTGAATTTAGCACAGTCCTAACAAACTGAACATCTGTCTTTATACCCAAAGGTAAGGGTGGCTTTTACCACTCATTGAGGAAGCTCCCCCCACCCTTTTTTCTTTTGAGACAGGGTTTCTCTGTGTAGGCCTGGCTGGCCTCGAACTCAGAGGTCTGCGTGCTTCTGCCTCTTGAGTGCTTGGGTTAAATGCATTGGACACCATAGCCTGGTAAAGAAAGTTCTCTTTGTAACAGAGATCACTGCAGAAAACGACAGCCAATCAAAATGCAGAGTCATGCAGCCCAATTCCAGTGGATACAAAATGATAGCCAATCAAAATGCAGAGTGGCGAAGTCCAGTCCCAATGGCTACAGCTACCAAACACTCCTGCGGCTAAGGCTGGGGGAAGGATTCTAAGAGCCAGAAAATCAGGGAGTTTGTTGTGAGATTGCATAATCAGAAGCTGCAGCGGTGAAGTCTCACCAGTGTGACTGCCTGAACGGGTGCCGGGCAAGGACAACAGCAATAGACAAATAGTCAAAGTGGACGGGGGAAAAGCACCCAAGGCCTCAACCCTATGTAAAGAACTGCAGGCCAGGAGGCAAGCTGGGAGCAGGAAAGTTGGTCATTCCCTGGGGAGCGCTCAGTAACTGGTTATCTGACACCCAACGAACAGCCCCGAAAACATATACACAAGTCATAGCATTCAGGCTGGGCAGGGTATATAGGAATATAAGTATATTTGCATGTACATGTGTGTGTGTATGTGTGTACACATGGAAGAACAATTAATGAAAAAGAAACCATGAATTTGAAAGAGAACAAGGAAAGGTATATGAGAGGGTTTGTAGGGAGAGAAGGGAAGGGAGAAATATAATTACATTATAATCTTTTTTTTAAAAATATTTATTTATTTATTATGTATACAATATTCTGTCTGTGTATATGCCTGCTGGCCAGAAGAGGGCACCAGACCCCATTACAGATGGTTGTGAGCCACCATGTGGTTGCTGGGAATTGAACTCAGGACCTTTGGTAGAGCAGGCAATGCTCTTAACCTCTGAGCTATCTTTCCAGCCCCCAAAATAAATGATCACTCTGGTATGTGATACCCTACTGATTTTTGTCTTTGGATCCTTTCCCTGTAGTATGGAGGTTGCTTGTTTGGTTCCTGGATGCCCGGCTTGCTTAGACCCAAAATAATCACACAGAAACTATATTATTTAAAAACACTGCTTGGCCCATTAGCTCTAGCTTCTTACATTTTAACTTAACCCATTTCTATTAATCTGTATATTGCTACATGGCTGTGGCTCACCGGGTAAAATTCCCAGCATCGGTCTCTGGCACCATCATGGCCTCTCTCCCTCTACCTTCCTTCTCCCAGCACTGAGTCCAGTCCCCACCCCCATCCCGCCTACCTAAGTTCTGTCCTATCAACAGGTCAAGGCAGTTTCTTTATTCATTAACCAATATAAGCAACACATAGACAGAAGGACCTCCCACACCATTTCCCTTTCACTCTTTCAGCCAATCTCTCTTCCTTCTGTTCCCTCCGGTCTCTTCCTTCCCTTCCTTTCTTCCTCTCTCCTTCCCTCCCTCCCAACAGGATTGTTACTAAGTAACCTAGACTGGCCTTGAGCTCTTGGTCACCTGGCCGGAGTTAGCTCTACAGCCATTCACCACCGTATTTAGCTCTCCTGGCTCACTCGAGAAACCAGAGTTCCAACTTTTAATGTTAGAATAGCACAATGAGCTTTGCTTCTTCAATACTATTATGACTTTTCCAGTTTGGCAAGAAGATTTGGGCTTTCCCTTCCGGAAAGCCGATGTGTGGCACTGTATTGCTTTCCCCAGATACAGCCGTGCTTCTTGTCCAGAGCTTACTCATGCTGCCCAGTCGGGACCTTACCTGTTTTGTTTCTCTGTCTTCTCTCTGGCGCCCACTGCTGTGTTTTTAACATTCTTTGTCCTACAGAAGGTTCCATGTACACTTAAACTCACCTATTCTGATTCCGATGTTGCTTGGAAGTATGTATATCCTGGTTCTATAATCCACTGTTTCTGCTCTGGTCACTTAGCTATTATTGAGACTTAGGACTGAAATCCCTGCTCATGATATACTGTTAAATATTCCTGTCTTAAGTTCTTAAGTTATGTCAAGGTGGAGATTACACACACACACACACACACACACACTCCATTTTTGTCCCTTTATTTTATCAACTTCTTCAAAATTAAACTTCTAGTTTAGTTAATTTCTTTATTTTATTTATTCCTCTCTCATACAACACACACACACACACACACACACACACACACACACACACACCCCTCTTTCTATGTAAACCTGGCTAGCTGAGTATTTATTATGGAGTCCCACTGACCTTGAACTCTTAGCAATATTTCTGCCTTGATTTCTAGAGTGACAGGATTATAGGTACCTCAATGATTTCAATATTGCTGTTTTTAAATTTAAATTTAAACTTTTTGTTTGTTTTATGTGCATGGGTGTTTTGATCACATGTGTGTCCACTATGCACTACACATATACCCTGGGCCTGGAGTTACAGTCAGTTGTGAGTCACCACGTAGGGGCTGGAAACTGAAGACAGCCAGTGCTCGTAACTGCTGAGTCATCACTCTATACTGGGTATACACAGGGTTGTCATTGCTTTGTCTCGTTGGATTGATACTTTCGTCTCTATAAAGAGCCCTGAGTGTTTTCTGGGAGTCTTTAACTTGGACTTGAAGTCTGTCCTATCTGACAGAAAGATGGCCACCCCACTCTCATTTGGTGACCACTCGCTTGGCATATTTTTTCTTCTATCCTTTCTTTCAGCCCAAGCAGTCCTGAAATCGAAAGCGAGGCTCTTGTATGCACTATATAATTGAATCTGCTTTTGATTTATTTAGCCACTCTATGTTTTTTTGTTTGAAGAGCATCATCCACTTACGTTTAAAGTGACTGTTGGCGAGGAGGATCCCCGTTGTCTGCAGGACGGTGTTCGGTCTGCCACGTAGTTCTTGTCCCTCACTGTCACTACTTTCTCCCAGTGTTTTTTGCATTGATGTGCGTGGCTTCCTTGTCCTTTTATGTGCTGTCTATAGATGTCTTCTCTGCGGTTGCTACAGGACTGCTATGGAACAGCATAGAGAGGAACCAGTCCATTCTCGGAGGGCACAGCTTCACTGACATTTGGAATTGCATATCCCGCCCCCTCCCCAGCATCGCCACTGATCTCCATTTATATCTGCTTACATTACCTGCCCAGGAATGACATCTGCTTCATCCTTTGAGTACTTTCGTCTTCTAAGTTTTAGAGTAGAATCAAAAGTCATTCACTTGCTTCTCTTATGGCAATGAAGTAGTCTTTTAAACATTTCCTATTACACGTGGAGGTCAGAGGACAACTTGGAAGTTGGTTCTGTGTCCTGTCCTTCCACCATGTGGGTCCTGGGACTGAGCTCAGGTTGACAGGTGTGGCAGGAAGCTCCTTTACCTGCTGAGCCGTGTCAGTGGGCCGCAGTAGTGCAATGCTCTCTATGTTTCTTCAATCAGGGAGTGCCCCACGTACTTATTGGATTGTTTGGTCATTTAATTCTCTTTTATTTCTACTGGGAGACGCTCTTCAGCATTTCTTCTAAGCAGGACCAGTGGCGATGAAGCGCCTCATCGTGACTTTAGTGCTCTCTTGCATTCTTTTGAAAGACGTTACACACTTTTTTCCTTGCATCTTTAACACTACTTTAAGCTATGAGTCTCCCCCAAGGGCATGCACCTTCCCTGGAGGTTCTGCAATATCAGGTCAATGGGTATAGTGGATAGAACCAATTTCTAGTCAATGGATTTGCTCTAAAATTCATTTATTATATTGTCTTCAGATAGAGGACCCAACCAATGTTAGAGAGACAAGAACAGACCTTCTGCTTGATCTTAGTCAAAAGGCTCGGAAGTGATGAGGATGCCCTCCAATTTCTGATCCCCTCGCCATGGTTTCCCAAGTGCTGGAGGTGCTTTCCCCACACTGCAGGTCCATACCACCAAATTCATCCTTCCCCACACTGCAGGTCCATACCACCAAGCTCATCCTTCCCCACACTGCAGGTCCACACCACCAAACTCATCCTTTCCCCTCTTTTTCGTTTTCTTTATTCTTCTCTCATACAATACATCCAACTACATTCTCCCCTCCCTTCTCTCAGTTCTCCCCACCTTACCTCTTCCCCAGATCCGTTGCTCCTCTGTTTATATCCCTTCAGGAAAGATCAGGCCTCCAGGGGATATGTATCAGCTGAATGGTGTAACAAAATGCAATAAAGCCTGTCTTACAAAAATTTTGAAAACCTTTTTAGCTATTTTGAGTATATCATTTTGCTTCCACGTAACTTGTACATTTTCTGCTAAAAAGTAAAATTTGCTTGTAGCCTGATAGAGATCCCTTGTTTATAATAGCTACTTCTTACCTAAATGGCTAGTCTTTGTCTCTGACCTCACCCTGAGATTGCATTGTGAGCCCTAAGCTGGCCTAGAACTCACCATATATCCTGGGGTGGCCTAGAACTCACCTTATAGCCTGGGCTGGCCTAGAACTCACCATATAGGCTGGGCTGGCCTAGATCTCAGCATACAGCCTGGTCTGTCCTAGAACTTACCACATAGCCTGTGCTGGCCTTGAAGTCACCATCTAGCCTGGGGTGGCCTTGAACTCACCATATAGTCTGGGGTGGCCTTGAACTTACCATGTAGCCTGGGCTGGCCTAGAACTCACCATATAGCCTGGGGTGGCCTTGAAGTCACCATATAGTCTGGGGTGGCCTTGAAGTCACCATATAGCCTGGGGTGGCCTTGAACTCACCATATAGCCTGGGCTGGCCTTGAACTCACCATATAGCCTGGGCTGGCCTAGAACTCTCCATACAGCCTGGGCTGACCTTGAACTCACCATATAGCCTGGGCTGGCCTTGAAGTCACCATAGAGCCTGGGCTGGCCTAGAACTCTCCATACAGCCTGGGCTGACCTTGAACTCACCATATAGCCTGGGCTGGCCTTGAAGTCACCATAGAGCCTGGGCTGGCCTTGAACTCACCATATAGCCTGGGCTGGCTTTGAACTCACCATATAGCCTGGGCTGGCCTAGAACTCTCCATACAGCCTGGGCTGACCTTGAACTCACCATATAGCCTGGGCTGGCCTTGAACTCACCATATAGCCTGGGCTGGCCTTGAAGTCACCATAGAGCCTGGGCTGGCCTTGAACTCACCATATAGCCTGGGCTGGTCTTGAACTCACCATATAGCCTGGGCTGGCCTTGAACTCACCATATAGCCTGGGCTGGCCTTGAACTCACCATATAGCCTGGGCTGGCCTTGAACTCTCCATACAGCCTGGGCTGACCTTGAAGTCACCATAGAGCCTGGGCTGGCCTTGAACTCACCATATAGCCTGGGCTGGTCTTGAACTCACCATATAGCCTGGGCTGGCCTTGAACTCACCACATGAGTTGGTGATTTGCAGGCCGAATTAGGGAGGAGCTGCTCTTCTTGCCCCACTGATTCCAATGCTCATCTCATCTAGAAGCACAGCCACACCCAAGACAGTGTTTGACAGACGTCCTGGCATCCTGTGACTACTCGAGTTAATGCATAGCTAGCTGTCACAATTCTGTGCTTGTGCATTTGTTTTCTTCCTTCTTGAGCCTTTCTTCTTGAATTTTTCCAGTTATCAATTCAGTGACTTCTCTGTAAGTTATTTGGGTTTTCTAGATACACATCATATTATCAGAAATTTTATTTTTCTCAACTTTTATAAGTTTTATTTATCTTGTTTTACTTACTTACTGTGTATGCATGGGTGAGCTTACATGCTTCAAGGCACATGTCCAGAGGTCAGAGGACAATTTGCAGGAGTTGGTTCTCTCTCCCTTCCAGATCTGTGTCCTGGGGACTGAACCCAGGCTGCCAGTCTTGGGCACATTTTCTCATGTGCCACTATAGACAAGGCTTGTTTTCCCAAACACTTGTGCAGCTAATTAACAATTTTAAATGCATTACAATAAAGTATTTAAAAATATTACTTGATTGTATTTTTATATCTTGATGATATTTTATAGCTTGATGTTTTTATTATTAATTTTGTTTGCACATCATTTCTATTTTTGTCTTAATTACTTTTTCTTTCTCAGTAATGGCCTTTTTGAGATCATGCTAGCATACCCCAAAATTCATATGCCATAAAATTATAAAATGTGTGAGTCAATGTTTAATATAATCAGAACTGAGCAGCCAGAACTAATATCTAATTTCATGACTTTAAAAAAATGTTTTTCATAAATTTTCTAACCATGTATATGTATGTGTGTGTATATGTGCATGTTAGCGCAGGTACCTGTGCAGGCCAGAAGAGGGCAGAAGATCCCCTGGGGCTGGGGTTTCATCCTGTATTGAACAACCTGATGTAGATGCTTGGATCTGGAATTGGGTCCTCTGCAAGATCATTATTCATTCTTTTTTTTTTAAATATTTATTTATTTATTTATTTATGATGTATACAATATTCTGTCTGTATGCCTGAAGGCCAGAAGAGGGCGCCAGACCTCTTTACAGATGGTTGTGAGCCACCATGTGGTTGCTGGGAATTGAACTCAGGACCTTTAGAAGAGCAGGCAATGCTCTTAACCACTGAGCCATCTCTCCAACCCCTCATTATTCATTCTTAACAATCCCTGAGCCATCTCTCCAGCCATGTCAGGAAGTTTTTTTCCTTAACCTAAAGACTACCAGGAACACTGCATGTCCCTTGGCTTAACCCTATGCAGTTGTTGTTTCCAAGTTTATTCATTCTGGATATTTTATCTAAATTGATTAATGCAAAATGTGGCCTTTTATGCCTGCATTTTTCTGCCCTCAACATTGCATATTGTCAGATGATCCATCATAAGGACATTGCAAATTTTGCTTTCCCGTTAGTCATTCGACACGTGCTGGGAGTTTCCACACATTTTGAACATTGCACTATGAACATTTGTATGCAAGTGTTTGTGTTCACATAAACTTTAATTCTTTAAAAAAATATATCTAGGGGTAGAGTTTCTGGGCCATATGCTGCCCCTAGGTTTAACGATATTAACTATTTTGCCAAATAAATACCTATGGCCAGTGTGGTTTGAAATTCCCAGTTTCCCACCAACTGTGTATCTTAGCCATCCTGCCAGATGTAACGTTTATTTATTTTTGTAGTTTTCATTGCTCTTTCCCAATAATTAGCAGTGTTAGGCGTCTTTTTATGTGCTTACTGGCAAGCTTACTGTCTTTGGAGAAAATCCTTTCTGAATCTAAAACTTAGAAATTATTTGTCTTTTTATAAGGTGTAAGACTCCTTAAACATTCTGGATTCAGGCCTCTTACCACATGAATTATTTATAGATATTTGCTTCATTTTGTTGGTTTTCTCTGCAGGTCGTTGATGCCTGAGAACACGAATGCTCCTGTGATAACATCTCGTCTGTTTGCTTTGTCCTTTGCCAGTTTGGACTTTGGTGTTGTATCTAGGAAGTCAGAGCTGATGCGTGGTCATGAAAATGGACTCATATTTTTAAAATGTCATAGCTGTGGTTATTGTAGGCAGAGTATGATCTGCTTTGAGCAAATTTTTGCATATCACCATTTGCAAGGGAGGGGTCCAGATTCTTTTTTTTTTCCCTGCATACGGATGTCTAACTCACTTGTTGGAAAGAATATTTACTTGAATTTTCCTGACATTTCCTGTGAATCAGCCCATTATAAATGCAAGGGTTGATCTCTGATCTTTTGATGGTATTTCATCGATCTTGATGTCATCTTTCAGGATTGTTTCTTTGCCTTTCGCCTTCATCAATCTTCTATGTGTAATATGATTTCTTTGTATTTATTGTGTGCTGTTCATGAGCACCTTAAACTTGTGACTTCATGTTTTGAATTTTTTGGAAAATTGCCTCCGATGTTTCTTCATATTACTGCTTTTGCCTCATTGAGTATGGTTAAGTAATATGCCATTATAATTAAGTCATATTTCTTGAATAGAATTGAAACCACACACAGAGACACACATACACATACATACATGCACACACATACCTTCACATGCATATATGTATACACACATCACACACACACACAGCACCTGCTTTTGGAAGGCACTTCTCCCTTGCTCTATCCCTTTCTGCTTCTTGATAACTCATGCCCGTCTTTTCTAAGTGCAAACACAAAGCCATAAAAATTCCCTGGGAAAGATTTACTCTCTTCCTTGTGTTTACTCTCTTCCTCATCGGTTTTTCAAGCCCCTCCTTTGGGCAGTTGTTGTCACGGTTTGTGAGCATTAGTTTGCCTGTCTATGTATTTTTCTCCCCAATGCAGACCTCTTATGATCAAGGGTCACGCCTGAGTTATTTTTGTCTGCCAGTTGCCTAGTGAGATTTTTTAAACCAGTAAACACTCAATAAAGACTGAATAAATAAATAAGCCTTCCCCCAGAGATCTCTGTCTTCCTGTTCTTCATGCTCTGTGCATTAATTGCGTCAATTACCTTAAGTGTTCCATTGCTGATTGCTGAAACCGGGCACAGGCCTCAGACCGTTTATAACCACACAGCAGTTTTATTGAAGCAAGAATACAGGGTGACAGTGTCTGGAGAAGGATATGCGTATTTAAATAATCACGAGATTTCATGTTCGGGCTTCTGTCCTTCCCCTGCTGTGTTAAATAAGACACGCGTTGTCTCCGACTCTGGAGCCATAGTCATTGTGTCTGGAAGGTCCCTTAACACCAGGAGTGCAGAGACTGTTGGTCTAAGTTAGGATGTCTATTGCTGGGAAGAAACGCGATGGCCAAAAGCAAGTTGGGGAGGATTTGGCTTACACGTCCAGATCATACTCCATCTTTGGAAGAAGTTAGAACAGGAACTCAAGCAGGGTAGGAGCTGA